GGCACCCCTTGGTGCTCATCGGGCACTGACAGGAACCCCCTGGAACCCCTCCCCAAGCCCCGGTACCGCCGTGCACCTCCCGGCACCCCGTGGAACTCCCCACCACTACTCGCAGAAGACCCCGACCCCTCCCTGACACTCTCCGGTGCCTCTGACCCCCTCTGCCGCCTATGGGTGCACTGGGACCCCCGTGGGGGGCAATGTGTGCACTCCAGCCCTGCCATGGTGGGGGATCCCGTGACCACCAAGGGACACTGCCCTGAGGGGTTCCTGGGCTTCCACGTCCTCTCCAGCCTGGAGCAGCAACTCGTGCGCTGAGTCCCCACGTGGGCCCCCCCCGGTCCTCCCCCCGGGGCTGGCAGCACCCGGCACTCCCGGCAGGACCGATCCAAGGTCACGGACACCACAGGGAAGGTCCGCAGCTGCCACCCAGTGGAACAGCCAGTACAGCCGCAGCCATGTCACGGTGCACCTTCACCCTCCTTGTCCTCCTCCTGGTGGGAGTATCTCCTCAGTGGGGCTGGAGGCACTATATGGCAGCTCCTCTGGAGCCCCTGGGCAGAGCTGTGTCCCCTCGCAGCGCTGCGGCCCCTCTCTCCATCACACAGCACGTGCCGACCTTCCCGGAGCACGGACATGGTCGCCACCGGCAGAAGAGGGACTGGGTCATCCCCCCTACCAACTGCCCTGAGAACGAGCGGGGACCCTTCCCCAAAAAGCTGGTGCAGGTACATGACACCGTCGGGATTGGGTGTAGGGCAGGGGGCTCCCCTGAGCACTGGGGTCCCTCTTACTCACCCCATCACACCTCGGCTCCAGATCAAATCCAACAAGGACAAGGAGACCAAGGTATTCTACAGCATCACAGGGCAGGGAGCAGACACCATCCCTGTGGTTCTGGGAGGAGAAAGGGCCCAGCATTCCCCGACAGCACTGGCCTTGACCCCAGACAGCTCCGGAAAGCTGGGCAGGGTCAATGTCTCCCTGCACGTGCCATTGTGGGCAGAGACAGGGCTGCCGGGATAGGGCTGCTTCCTCATCAGGTCTGGGCTGGCTGTTGCTGCCACGCTGTGGCCCACCACGACGGGCAGGTGAGTAGGGGGCCCGGCATCCCAGTAGGAACCAGCCAGCACTCACATCGCGGCAGCTGCCGTGCCTGGGGCCGACCCCCGCGGCGTGAGAAAGATGTGGGTGCCCATGTCTCAGCCCCGGGGCACAGCGGGTGCAGGGGCTTGGCTACAGCACAGCCAAAGGGGAGGCAGATGGTGCTGCCAGGACAGGTCCCAGCCCTGTTTCCCCCTCTGACACAGGCTGACGGCATGTCTGGGGGGATGAACGGCTCCCTGACCACCCACGTGCTCAACACGGCCACGGGGCTGCCGGCAGCTGGCCTTGTGGTCCGCCTGGCCCAGCTGCAGGAGCCAGGGCTGCAGTGGAGGGAGCTGGCAGAGAGGTAGGAGAGCCGGTGACACTGGAATGGGACAGGGACGCTGCTGCCGGTGCCCTGTGAGCTTGGCCAAAGGTGCCCGGCAAAACCAGCTTTGCCCGGGGGCTGCTGGCGGCAGGGCTGGTGCTCGGGGGTATGACTGGGGCAGGTTTTGGGGGTATGGCAGGGATGGGTTTGGGGTACAGCAGGGCTGGCTTGGTCTGGCTTCAGGCACACGGACACAGATGGGCGCTGCCGACCCCTCCTGGCAGCAGGACAGGCCAAGGCTGGCACCTACAAGCTGCGCTTTGAGACAGCAGAGTACTGGCAACGGCTGGGGCACACCAGTTTCTACCCCTTCGTGGAGGTATGGAGCATGGGGAGCCAGGGACAGGGGACACAGGAGGTCAGGGGGCTGTGTCCCTCAGGGTCCAGCTACAGGATCCCCACCACTGCCTCCTCCCTCTCCCTCAGGTTGTCTTCACCATCGTCGACCCGGTGCAGAAGCTCCATGTACCACTACTGATCAGCCCCTACTCCTACACAACCTACCGTGGCAGTTAAGGGGGCACAGCCTCCCTCTGGAGACAAAGGAACAATACTACCAATGCCATTAAAGGCTCCAAACAGCACTGTTTGCCTCAAAAAATCACCTTCTGGAGTGAGGGGGACAGAGGGAGCCCCAGGGGCAGCCCAGCATGGTGGGTGGAATAGTGGGAAGCCTCGGGCTGTGGTTCTTCCAGGGAGGAGAGGGTCCTGCACAGGTTCACTGGGGTCTGTTTAATGGCAGGCAGCAGGAAGAGGGCACAGCCCCACTCCCAGTGTGCCAGGGGGACCCTCGGTGCTGTCTGGTGGTGCTCGGGTGGGGCCTGTCTTGGGGTCTGTCTTGGGGCTTGCCTGCCCTGGCAGCGGGATGGCCAGCGGCTGGAAGCCCAGGCTGTCCAGGGGGATGCCAAAGGCTGTCAGCTTCGCCTCAAAGGTCTGCAGCATGTCGTTGTATGCCTGCGAGGGACAGGTCCTTGGTCAGCCCCTCACATCAGGGCAGGGGCTCCCTGTGCCCCCCGATCCTGTTTCCAGCCCCCAAGCCACAGCCATGGAATCAGGGAGTCATTTGGGTTGGAAAAGCCTCTAAGACAATCAAGTCCAACCGCTCCCTCAGCACTGCCAAGGCTACCACTATACCATATCCCCAAGAGCCACACCTACACAGCTTTTAAATCCCTCCAGCATTCCTACCCACCCTCACCTTGCAGACTTGGGCCAGCTGGAGCTGCAGGTCCTGGTTCTTGGAATGGAGCATATCCTGTGAAGGTAGACAGGGTGTGAAGCCGTGCTGCCCAGCCCTGGGGACACGGTGGCCACGCCGCGGGCGGGAGTGGCGTGGCAGCGCGCATGGAGGAGCTGCAGCGCGAGCAGAGTGGCCAGCAGCACAGTCTGGCAGGTGGCCATCACCCTGCCCCCTCCGAGTGGCACTGCCAGGGACAGCCAGCCCCAGGCAGGGACAGGGACGCCACAGCCAGCCCTGGACAGGGACAGGGACCTCCCGGATCACCATCACAGCCAGCCCTAGGCAGGGACAGGGACACCACAGCCATCTCAGTCTGCCCCAGCACGCAGAGAGCACCGGCAGCACCTGCTCTGGCAGCACCACCGCGGCACCGGGGGAATTACAGGGAGACGGGCCCCTGGGGCAGTTGAGCAGAGGAATTTGGGGACCCTGGCAGCTGCGGGAGAGCCTGACGCCACGACGCCTTCCCTGGAATGTGTTTTCCTTCCACCTGCTGGGAGGTGACACATCCACTGCCGATCCCACGGCATTGCTACCCATCCCCAGGGCACCCCAGAGCTTCCCTGCCACCCCCTGCAGTGGGGACACATGGATGGGGACAAGCAGGAGAGCATGGGAGCAGTGCAGCCCTCATCCCCTGTGTCTGCCCGACCCGCCCCCAGTGCTGCTCCGTGGCTCTGGCTGCGGCAGGAATGTGGGTCTCCAGGCTCTCTGCAGAGGTATTTTTAGCACGTCAGACGCTGCAGAGCCCCAGGATCCCGTCTGCGCTGTCCCCGTGGCCAGGCACGGCTCACCGGGTGTGACCCCCATGCGCTTTGTGTGGCGGCACAGCACCATGGCAGTGCCGCAGGGCCCAGGCCACGCTCCTCGAAACAGGCCCCACCTGAGGGACAGAGCAGTGCCAAACTGACACCCACACGCTCCGCTCTCGAGGCAGAGCCGAGTGCCCCGCGGCGCCATGCGTGGCCCTGGGCGTGCCAGGAATGGGTGACACGGCAGTTACAGCCACGCAGGACAGGGACGGGAATGCTCCTGGGGCTGTGGACACCCTGCAGCAAGCTCTGTCCCCCACATCCAGCCCTCAATGGCCTCTGGTACCTCCAACTTCTGTGAGCCCAAGGAGAGGGCGTTGAAGTCAAGATTGGAAGCACTGAGGACCTCGCTGAGCTCCACTTGCTTCTGTGTCAGGCGGCTGTGGAGTCCCTGCAGCTTGCGCTCCAGGAGCAGGTTCTTGAAGCCTGTCTTCTGCTGCACCTCCATAATGGCTTTGGTGAACTTCTGATAGAGCTCATCTCGTTCCGCCTGTACCTGCTCCGGCAGACAGCACAGCAACACACTGCCCTCAGGACTGCAGAAGGCTAGTCGGGGTCTGCCTAATGGTCTGGAGCATAAAGGGGCAGCAAACTGGTCTGGCAGCTTGG